AATAAAAGAAAAGAAAAAATAAGAAAGTCTAGATGAAAATTTCCATATGGGAATTGCTTTCAAGATTGCTGGCGAATAGGATACAAAAAAAGGGAACACTGGAACTATGATTTTTATGACAGTTGTTCATCGGTAAGGTAATTTTGCTTAGCTAAGGTTTGTAAATAGTTAAGGTGTGTTGTTTTGTGTTGTGAAATGTTTCCACGCAAACACTGATTTCCTTGGTTCCTTAATGAATTTAGTTGTGTATTAAGTGAGTTGTAATTTTGTTACCGTTAAAGTACAGAGTCAACATTACAATTAGAAGTAACATGTAATTGGGAGCGGCATAGAGTAATCAGATTAGTTCTGCGAGCAGTGATGTATGAAACTAGGTATTTGCAGGACGTTTAAGCGCGTAGGAACTTAGCAGCTTGATTGTCAAGAAAGCCATGTTTCATAGGAAATTAGCGCCCACGAATCGTTGTAGAACGTGAGTGAATCTTGAATCTCACACGGAATTACGTATCTGGGTGTGGATTTCCTCAGCTAATAAATGTAACATTTTTGTAGCTGTAAGCAGCCTTTTTGACCAACTTCCAATATGACTTGTAATCTTTACTTTGTCAAAAAGATCAGCGTAGAACTTGCATTTGGAAACTCGTCATGCGTAACCCTGTTTCTTAATGAGCGATACTTTGCCCACAATTCTTGATCGTTAGATAGTTTTGCTTTAGGAAGAGGTTTGTTGCGTAAATTCATCAGATTGCGTATTTGCGGATTATAACCCAGGGTAAAGACTGGCGTCTGACCTTGATCTCGCGCAATGGCGCGTGTTTATTACATATCTGATCAAAGATGTGCGTCCACGCCCAATAACAATCATCCGGGTCGTCGAATACTTTGCATACGGATCATGGGGCCACCGCTGTAGTGAGCAGGCATTGTATCAAAGATAAAAATCCATGATAATACAAATTAGGATTTTAGGGCTATAAATTATTTATTTAGATCTTGTGAGTATAGCTGGCAGTTAGGTAACATCTCCTTGTAGGTGCGTTGCCCTATCAGAACTTTTAATTAATTTTTTCTTTCTTTTTTCTCTCAAAGAAATAAAAAAAAATTATTTAACTAAGGAGGGAGAGGCCACTCCTAAACGGAGGCCATGATGGCCATGCCCACCACGTCACCTTAAATTTTTATTAAAAATATGAAAATGAAATCAACTGTCTCTCGTTCATTTTAAAAATGTCATTGCAGCAAATTAATTCAGCTATAGCTGCAAATAATAACTTCTTACCAAGCCTCAGGGTCATATTAGAGAACACTTTCCTGAGGTCCTCATAAAACAACTGATGGCCAATATTCCTCAGTAGAACTCGAGCAAGCAAAGTTAACAAGTAATTCATTGTATTGCAAATGGACTAAACTTTTTAATTTTAAATTTGGTGCCTTTCAAAACGAAAATACATGGGTTATGATCGTTTCACTTGAAACAGCCTGTATAGAAAAGTGCCGAACAGGTAAGAACAAGATCAGTGCTGGAAATTACCTCAAGACTACCTTGCCACATAGTAATGCAAATTAAAGTTAATTTTCCTAACTGTTAAAAAATTGTATAGCCTTCAGTACTGAGGATATAACCCATCACCAAACCCAACGTTTTCGCAGAATTGTTAGAGTTTTTGAGCAAATAATTGATAACTGATCCAATTATTTCTCCTAAATCTTTCACCTTAGAGGCTTAGCTTGGATAGATGTCAATAGAATGTCGAGAACCATCAACCATCATACATGTTTGGTGATAATGCCCATGTTCATTCCACCATGTGGGCTGATTTATGAATCGGTATCACTGACTCGTAGGGCAGCGAGTGTATTTCATTGTACTGTCCAACAGCACCCCTCAAAACGGCTATCTAAGAGTTTCCACAATGGATTTGTTATTTATTGGTTTATTGGAAGCCCTAAATAGCGAAAACATGGAACGATTACTGAAAGACAGTTCCAAGAATTAACATACAAATTAGTATCAAAGGCAAATCACTTAAATAAGAATTTTTGTCATCGTCGTTAACAGACTTTATCAATATGCATCAGTAACACACAAAAAAGCGAGAAGCTAAATAGGCTAACTGACCAAAAAAAAGAAGGATTAATTTTCATACGACTCCTCGCTGGCCAAGCTGCGAACTTCTTTGTACCTACCTCTTCTGAATGAGTTA